GTGACACTATGTAATGATTAAAAACAAATAATTGATGCATGAGTTCAAATTTTATTCCAATGACCTCAAATCTTAGCGGTAATATTTTAAGATTGGAGAAGAACAGAAATGCAAATGCTTAAGACTAATTGGGCTTTAGAGAAGACTAGTATTGAGAACAACATGAAAAATGTGGTCTATTTATTTTAAAATTGCAAAAGAACATCCATACCATGTGACAGTATCGCATATAATCTTTCACTTTATGGTGTTATCGATGTGTATTAGTGCTAATCAGTAATCACACCTATTATCGCGGTTCCCCTTTATAAACTACGCATGAATTTGGGATTCAAATTATGTAGCAGAACAAATATTTTAAATTGTACCACAACAATTTGAGAAACTATATATACTGGTTCTATTCCATGTCGGTTTTCAAAGTTCATATATTCATCAAGGAATATGAAAGGAAAATAGTATTCTTCTGTTTCATAAAATATGTCATTTTAGAGTTGTTTTTTTTTGGGAAAATTGTGTAAATGGGTAAAATTTGATTTGATTTTGTCCTACTAACCCTTTCTCTATTTTTACCTAATTTACCCTTTTGACATATCTAATAAATCATTAAAAATAGTTTTAACAGCAAAAAAAATTAGGAAAATTCAAAACAATAAAAGAGTCACTGGAAAAAATATAGTTATATTTTTTTTTATTTTAAAAATATGGTTAGAATTGAAAATAATTTTCTGTTCTACCTTTTCCAGAAATCATATTCTACCGTCTACGGGGTAGTAGAATATATATTCTACAAATTGGTCTTAGTCTACTGTGTTTAGAATATAGGTTCTACGGATTATTGATNTATCTACGCACNCGTAGAATATAGGTTCTACTCGTTACTCTATATTCTACGATTTAATTNATTTGGTAGAGTACACGTTCTAATGTTTGTTCTGTATTCTACCAATTTTTGGAATATATATTCTACCGTAACTACTATAATCCACCATTCGTAGAATTCATCTTCCAATTTTTTCCTTTTGTCTATGGGTGGTAGAATATATATTCTGCGAAAATATCCTAAAATCTAGGAAATATGGTTAGTAAATATTCACCATATCTTTCCAAATATTTTCTAAAAAAAAAAAAAACTGTCCGTAACCG